TAAATAAATAAATAAATAAATAAATAAATAAATAAATAAATAAATAAATAAATAAATAAATAAATAAATAAATAAATAAATAAATAAATAATAAATAAATAAATAAATAAATAAATAAATAAATAAATAAATAAATAAATAAATAAATAAATAAATAAATAAATAAATAAATAAATAAATAAATAAATAAATAAATAAATAAATAAATAAATAAATAAATAAATAATAAATAAATAAATAAATAAATAAATAAATAAATAAATAAATAAATAAAAATAAATAAATAAATAATAAATAATAAATAAATAAATAAATAAATAAATAAATAAATAAATAAATAAATAAATAAATAAATAAATAAATAAATAAATAAATAAATAAATAAAAATAAATAAATTTAAAAAAATAAATAAAAAAAATATATATAATTTTATATATTATATATATATATATATATATATATATATATATATTTATATATATATATATATATATATATATATTATACAGTGGACCCCCGCATAGCGACCTTAATCCGTGCAAGAGGGCTGGCTGTTATGCGAAATGTTCGCTATGTGAATGAATTTTCCCCATAAGAAATAATGGAAATCAAATTAATCCATGCAAGACACCCAAAAGTTTGAAAAAAAAAAATTTTACCACATGAAATATACATTTTCCTACACACAAAGAGAAGGATACATGCACAATAGTAGAGTAGTACATGCACAATATATATTGTGCATGTACTACTCTACTAAATGAAGAATAAGTGACACTTACCTTTATTGAAGATGCAGCAATGACTGATGAGACACTGTGTCCTGGGAGTGCCTTTTCCTCCTGAGTACTGTAGGTCCTGTTTGGTATTTTCTTCCAGAACAGGCCTTATCACACTGTGTATGTCACTACGATTCTTAAATCTCTCAAACCAACCTTTGCTGGCTCTAAATTCACCAATATGAGCACTAGTTCCAGGCATTTTCCTGTTCACCTGGGTGTTAGTCGACTGGTGTGGGTTGCATCCTGGGAGACAAGATTAAGGACCCCAATGGAAATAAGTTAGACAGTCTTCGATGACACTGACTTTTTTGGGCTATCCTGGGTGGCAAATCCTCTGGGGTTAATTGTTTCTTGGTATTCTCAATAAGCCACACCAACAACGGTGCTACAGCAGCAGCAGCAGCAGCTGACGATGTTACAGCAGCAGCAGACGATGCTACAGCAGCAACAGACGATGCTACAGCAGCAGCAGACGATGCTACAGCAGCAACTGACGATGTTACAGCAGCAGCAGACGATGCTACAGCAGCAGCAGACGATGCTACAGCAGCAGCAGACGATGCTACAGCAGCAGCAGACGATGCTACAGCAGCAGCAGATGATGCTACAGCAGCAGCAGCAGCAGACGATGCTGCAGCAGCAGCTGACGGTGGTACAGCAGCAACAGACGATGCTACAGCAGCAACAGACGATGCTACAGCAGCAGCAGACGATGCTACAGCAGCAACTGACGATGTTACAGCAGCAGCAGACGATGCTACAGCAGCAGCAGCAGCAGCAGCAGACGATGCTACAGCAGCAGCAGCAACAGACGATGCTACAGCAGCAACAGACGATGCTACAGCAGCAGCAGACGATGCTACAGCAGCAGCAGACGGTACTACAGCAGCAGGAGCAGCTGACGGTGGTACAGCAGCAGCAGCTGACAGTGCAGCAGCAGCTGACGGTGATACAGCAGCAGCAGCAGCTGTACCACCAATAGTAGCGATGGTTGATTGGGGTTTATTATACAACCTGGCCAGCTCGGAGACACGCACTCCACTTTCATACTTATCAATGATCTTTTTCTTCATCTCCATAGTAATTCTCACCCTTATTGCTGTAGGGTTGGCACTAGAAGCTTTCTTGGGGCCCATGGTCACTTATTTTCCAGAAAAAAATCACCAAAAACACTGTAATAATACAAAATGTTCCGATTGTATGCTTGGATGTTACCGCGGAGGCTGGCTGGTAAACAATGCCACCCGCGGAACATGTGAGCGTGGCTCAGGCCGCACATTGGACGCGTCTCGGACGAAGGCCGCTGAGCGGGTTTTTGGGCGCTATGCGGGGCAAAATTTTAGCGATCAAAGCGTCCGCTATGCGGATTGTCCGCTATGCAAGGCGTCCGTTATGCGGGGGTCCACTGTATATATAATTTTTTTTTTTTTTCCAACAAGTCGGTCGTCTCCCACCGAGGCAGGGTGACCCAAAAAAAAAAAGAAAGAAAATCCCCAAAAAGAAAATACTTTCATCATCATTCAACACTTTCACCACACTCACACATTATCACTGCTTTTGCAGAGGTGCTCAGAATACAACAGTTTAGAAGCATATACGTATAGAGATACACAACATATCCCTCCAAACTGCCAATATCCCAAACCCCTCCTTTAAAGTGCAGGCATTGTACTTCCCATTTCCAGGACTCAAGTCCGACTATATGAAAATAACCGGTTTCCCTGAATCCCTTCACTAAACATTACCCTGCTCACACTCCAACAGATCGTCAGGTCCCAAAAACCATTCGTCTCCATTCACACCTGTCTAACACACTCATGCACACTTGCTGGAAGTCCAAGCCCCTCGCCCACAAAACCTCATTTACCCTTGGTTTTTGTGTTTAATCCGTTCCAGAGTGATCGGTAAAAACAGAAACCATTTTTCCCTATAAGAAATAATGTAAATCCAATTAATCCATTCCAGACACCCAGAAGTATTAACAAAAAAAAATTTGTTTTACCTTAAAGATAGATTTACATGCACAAAAGAATGAACATTCAACACGACACTTACCTTTATTGAAGGCTGTTGTTGATGGATGGAAGACAGGGAAGAGGGGAGAGGGAAGAGAGGTTATCGTTTGGAAGGGGAATCCTTTTCCAAAAGGATTCTAGGTACCAAGTCCTTATCCAGGGTCACTTCCCTCGCTTAAATATAGATTTACATGCAGATAAGAATGACAAATAAATATAAAACACTAATAAAATGTATAAATGAACATTTAACATCACTTTTTTTTTTTCCAACAAGTCGGCAGTCTCCCACCGAGGCAGGGTGACCCAAAAAAGAAAGAAAATCCCAAAAAGAAAATACTATCATCATTCAACACTTTCACCACACTCACACATTATCACTGTTTTTGCAGAGGTGCTCAGAATACAACAGTTTAGAAGCATACACATATAAAGATACACAACATATCCCTCCAAACATCACACTTGCCTTTATTGAAGACTCTTGTTGGTGTATGGCAGACAGGGCAGAGGGGAGAGGGAGGCCGAGTTTATTGTTGGAGACAGGACAATATGCTTCAATATGACACTAATATCAACTCTACAGCTTATTTATCTATCACAATTCAACTAACATGACATAATAAACAATATTAATAGCATACAAACATGACAAATACTCTAGAATGAATAAAGTAAGTCATTATGTATGTCACGAGTGCTATCCTGTTGTTGTTGTTGGGTGTATAAGGGCCACAGAGCATAAGTCATACATGGTGGTGGCGAGGCGAAGGTAGCCCTATATAACTTCAACAACACTGGAGGAGTTAGGTTCGTACTGTCCTTTTTCTATCGATTAATCGCTTAACTTACTTCCTACACTGTTAATGCTACACATTATCGCTGGCTGGAGCTATAGCCTTTATCAATTCATGCTGCTTTAGTATCGTACATATCATAGAATCACCAAATGACTGAAGAAGGCACATTCTCCCCTCTATCTTCCTCCTCCACTTTGGTTCTTTGCTACGATTTCTTTCTTTAATTCTATCGTGCTCCTCAATTTCTTTACCAAAGGACTGGCACTAGGAGCTTTCTTTGGGCCCACGGTGGCTTATTTAGCAGTCACACACAATAAACAAGTGCCAAAAACAATGGATTATTATGAAAAGTTTCGTATGACCTCACAGGATATGTTCACTAACCGAGAAACAATGCAACACTGCCTGAGAATGCGTGTGGGAGGCGGCTTTGTCTGTGCACTGGACAGGTTCTGTACCATTGATGAAAACAGAGGAAATCCGTGATAACAGATCAATGAAAAGGGAGGGTCCCCTCCCCCTCCTCCCCTATCCCCCCCTTCCTCTCTGGAACGGATTAATCATGGAACTGGGGGGGGGGGGTTCCACTGTATGTACTCACCTATTTGTGGTTGCAGGGGTCGAGTCCTAGCTCCTGGTATGTATGTGTGTATTACACACACACACACACACACACACACACTAAATAAGATCACAGTAAACAGGTGATATCAGAATATGCAAAAAACCATTGTGAAAGAATAGTGAAATTCCAAGTGCTTTTGTGACTTCTCACATTATCAAGGAAATCTGCTAGCTGGACTTGAATCCTGCAGGTGGGAAGTATAGTGTCTGTACTCTGAAGGTGATGGTGTAGTGGTGGTGGTACTGCTGTTGCAGTCTCAGGAATCATATGAATTACGATGTCTGTATACTCTGGGTAAGACAGCAATGTAATAAATTCCAGTAAATGTGTTTGCTTTTTAGATCACCATACCTTGGTGGTTCATGGCATACAATATCTTTTTATTTTCAATTTCCATCCATCATCTCAGAATTGCTGCTGAATGCTAGCAGTTCTCCATCTTGATCCTTTTTCATGGTTGTATGCCCTGTCTTTAATAATTTGAAAGGGACATAATGCTTATAAATATTTTAATATTTTATATTTTAAAATTTTATTTATTTAAGTCATGTATAATACAAGATCTAGTAGACCTCTGTCATGGCAACCTAAAATAGAATCACCAGGGAAAAATACAGATTCCCTACATTGCAAACAGGGTTTCACTTCACACAATACTTTGTTTACATTATTAACTCCACATAATGCAAACACTTTTTTCCTGACAACCTAACTTTTTCACATTCCCATTCTCTCTGCTGATTTAACCCTGATTATTCTTCATAAAAATGAACTTACTGAGAGAGGCCAGCTGTGCAGAGGGGGGTTCATCAGCAAGGTCTATTAAAGACACTTCTTGTGGTTGTGGAGGTCGCTGTGGTTCTGAAGTCTGTTGGGGTTGTGTGTGGAGTGGCTGTGGAGACTTGGTGGGACTACTGAGGCCTTTTACCTTGTTCATGTGGCGATCATATCTGAAAAATGTGTTCACATGGCAATCATATCTGAAAAATATAAACAGTCTGTGGAGACAAAGAACTATGTCTATGGAAGCAAAGAGGGGAATGTATGAAAGTATAGTTATACCAATGCTCTTACATGGGTGTGACTGTTGCAACAAGGTGGTGACTGTTGCAACAAGAAGGCTGGAGGCAGTGGAGATGTCACGTCTGAGGGCACTGTGTGGTGTGAATATAATCCAGAGAATTCGCAGTTTGGAAATTAGGAGGAGGTGCAGGATTACTAAAACTATTATCTAGAGGGCTGAGGAGGGGTTGTTGAAGTGGTTTGGACATGTAGAGAGGATGGAACAAAACAGAATGACTGAGTGTATAAATCTACAGTGGAGAGAAGGTGGGGTAGGGGCCAGCCTAGGAAGGGTTGGAAGGGTAAAGGATGTTTTGTGTGAGAGGGGCTTGGACTTCCAGCAAGCATGCATCAGCATTAGATAGGAGCAAATGAATGCAAATGATTTTTAGGACTTGACATGCTGTTGGAGTATGAGCAAGGTAACATTTATGAAGGGATTCACGGAAACTGGCAGGCCGGACTCGAGTCCTGGAAATGGGAAGTACAGTGCCTGCACTCTGAAGGAAGGGGTGTTAATGTTGCAGTTTTATAACTAACATAAGCATGCCTCTGGCAAGACAGTGATGGAGTGAATGATGGTGAAAGCTTTCTTTTTCCGGCCACCGAAAAAAAATAAATATAAAGTTGTTTCTTCATTTTCAATGCCTTGTAGCTTGGCCTTTTAACCCCTTAACCCTTGCACTGTTGCTACCCCCAAAATTAAAAGTGCCGACTGTCACATTACTGTAATAACGAAAATGAAAATCTAAAATTTAGTTCACAACTTTTAACAATCACTTCCCAATATTAAACTGAATTAACTAACATGTTTCCATTATACAGTTTAAAGTTTTTTTTAAACCCTGAAGAAACACTGAAACAGAAAAAAACATACATTAAGAAGGTAATTTTTTATTTCTCATGGGCCAGACAAATTACTTAGTAAATAAACTTTCTTTCAACACACTGGCCGTATCCCACCAAGGTGGGGTGGCCCAAAAGGAAAAACGAAAGTTTCTCCTTTTACATTTAGTAATATATGCAGGAGAAGGGGTTACTAGCCCCTTGCTCCTTTAGTAAATAAACATTTGAATTACTTATATGTTCAATTTGATCTTATAATTCAGATATAATTTGATACAATAAACAGCTTAGAACTTCAAGGGAAATCGGAGAATCCTTCCTCTGTAAGACATGCATGTCATAAGAGGTGACTAAAATGCCAGGAGCAAGGGGGCTAGTAACCTCTTTTCATAAATAAATTACTAAATGTAAAAGAAAAACTTCATGAAAATGTTTCTTCTTTTCAGATCACACCCTGCCAGTGGGAGATGGCTGGTGTTAAAAAAAAAAAAATCAGAAGCCCCTTATTATGCAAATGCATTTCAGGCAAACTATTCATAAAGCTTATATACCTCCTACATCTGGGCCCAGTATACAACTTAAGTCACCACAGTTCGGGTAATTCATTACATTATAAATAAATTACACTGAAATTCCACCAATTCAATGACCTGCATTTTATGGAGTGACTGTGCTGAGGTGGTTATCCACGAGATAATCTCTAACTTGGGCAAGAGAGTTTGGGATTTTGCTGGCCAGATTTGTTCTAATAGTAATAAAGAAGTCACCTAATTTATATGGTGTCTCTCAGGCTTAGAGGGAAGGTTCATTAGATTCACCTAGAATTACTTCTTTGGATTTAGTTAATTTACTGGTGCCTGGTATTTAAGAAAGTGTTTTCAGTTTTTTTTTTTTATATTTTCCTTAATAGATTTTAAACTCATAATGTACAAACATTAATAATAATAACAGTTTACCTAAGGAAGAGGTTATTAAGATCATCATTAATACGTAAAAGATCGGCGGTGAGAATGTCGTCGCTGACCCTTCCCACAAGTTCAACCACTCGCTGCTGCATCGCTCTACAAGTTGCATGAAGCTCCTGTGCAGAGAAATTTATCATGATAGCACATTTAATAATTTGATATTAAAAACAATGTAAATCTGCAGGATTTATTGTTTCCATGTTCAGCAGTGTTTACACTATTAGCTGTAATATTGTACTTAAACTGATTCTGTATATATTACCAGCTACAATAATGATCACCTAATTAGTTAACAAATGTTTACAACATTACAATCAGTGGTTATGCAGTCTTCCATATTTTATTTATAAACCAACTATACACCTTTCTCAATAATAAAAAAAAAAATACACCAATGCTATATTTACCAGAATATTCTTTACATACAAATCTTTAATGCTAAAATACAGTACCATGTATAATACAGTAGGGCCCCGCTTTACAGCATTTCATGTTAAGGCGTTCCGCTAATACGGACATTTCAAATTATGACCAAAACTCTCTATACGGCTCCCCCAACTGACTTTCTAATAGTACTTTCTAATACATTCTCCGCGAGATCCGTAAGCACTAAATCTCTTCATTATGTCTGGAAACTCCAAAATTTCAAGTGTTTTTAAAAGTTATTTCATATTTTATATATACTCTGATAATTATACTCATGTATACCTGTACCTAAATAAACTTACATACTGCGCTGGCATGCAGGTACACGTTAAAATCAGCAAGAATGCCTCGTGTCTCGAGACGTCATATTAGTAATGATGATAATCATCGAGTCATTAAATGTCATAGATTACGTTAATATACGTGTTTTCATTAACTCTGAGGGTCGACAGGCCCTCTGAGACTTGTTCTCAGGGTCGGCCAAATTTAAAAAAAAAAAAAAAAAAAAAAAAAAAAAAAAGTTTTCTTATGAAAAGATAAAGAATCTTTTCTCGATCATAATGACACCAAAAGTATGAAATTTGATGGAAAACTTACGGAATTATGCTCTCGCGAAGTTAGTGGTCACAGCAATGTTTACACATCGGCGATTTTGCCCAATTTGAGCCCTATTTTCAGCCAATTCCACTGTACTAGTTGACAAAAATCATGAATATTTCGCTAGAACTCCATTTTTTCTATTGAATGAGTGCAAGAAACCACCCATTTACCAATTTCAACTATCCAGAACAGTAGTCAGAATTTAGCAATTTTGCCAATTTCACACAAATTTCAAAAGATGCCAATTTCCGAATGGGGTCCAGAATAAACAAGAAAGACATTCCTGGCACTAAAATGACATTTCCTCTGTTCATTAGTCATGTCCCAAGGCCCCTCTTACATTCTTTTGCTTTCCACTTGGAATTTTTATTCTCACAAAAAATAGAAGATTTACTGCATTAGTGTAAAAAATGGTATAAATAATATCAGCGCACTTGTGAAAGAATATTAGACTCACCAGTTGACGTGTATTGGATGCTTGGCATGGTTTGTTTACTTTTGAACTTCAGTAAAAATCGAACATTTCTGCTACTTTGAGCTCAATTTCAAGGTACTTTGCATTGTAAAAACAGTCAAAATCATCTCAATTTCTGTAACATATCTTCCATTCTATAACATGAGACCAAGAAAACTAGAATACATGTACAACAATAAATGCCATACGAAAATACAGTGCAAAGTCGCTGTTTTATTCAAAAAACACGGTCAGTTTTTTTTCTCATCATGCACTGTGTGCTGCAGGATTTTTTTTTTATACTGCGCACAATGACCACAGACCCATTCTTTCATATGTAGGCCTACCAGCTTTCTCCCACTAGATTTGAGGGTGCTAGAATTTAGGTGTACTAGTACGTCAAAAACCCTGGGTCATAAGCCATACTAGTAAGGCCGAAACCCTCAAAGGGTTAATCCATCTACGATATTTTTTCAAAATTATATAATAAACACGATGCATAACATATAAAGATGATAAATCCACCCCACAGTAGAATAAATAAACAAATACAAGATGCAGCCAGATGACTAGCACAAGTGATGCCATATTAGATATAATAACAATCACCGAGTTCTCCATGGGGAAGTGGAACAGAATTCTTCCTCCGTAAGCCATGCGTGTAGTAAGAGGCGACTAAAATGCCGGGAGCAAGGGGCTAGTAACCCCTTCTCCTGTATATATTACTAAATGTAAAAGGAGAAATTTTCCTTTTTCCTTTTGGGCCACCCCGCCTAGGTGGGATACGGCCAGTTTGTTGAAAGAAGAATCATCGAGTCTCATTAAATGTTGTATATTATGTTAATATACACGTTTTCATTAATCCATGATATTCTTTTCAAAATTATATAATAAACACGATACATAACATAAACACGATAAATACACCCCACAATAGAATAAATAAATATGAGATTTGGTAGCCAGACTTTTATGAGTGACGGCAAGAATAACATTTTCTCTAGTCTAACATCAGAGAAAATGTGTTACTGGGGGTAACTGTAGAAAATTATTCCTTTTGTATATAAGTAAGTTTACTCAGGTATACACAAATACAGTTACATAGATTATCATACATAACAGCATATGTGTAGAGAACCTAGGATAACCCAAAAAAGTCAGAGTGACTTATTTCCATTGCCTTCACTCAGAGCGTCATATCTTCTAAAAACGGTGTTACATGAGAATGGGCGTGTTCTTCTTTATTTATTTACCGTATCAATGAAGAGACAATTTGTACACAATGTAACTTGTACACAAATCAGAAGTGTACACTTTGCTAACAAAACTTGCGTTCGCCTGGTTTGTTTACATAACTCTGCGCCTGTCCTCCCTTATGTACTCACTCTCTCTCTCTCTCTCTCTCTCTTTTATTCGTTTTATCTCGTTTACTCACCCCTGACCCTACATTAAGACTACAAATATTTTAAGGTAAGTAATGAGTGAACTGTATATGCATTTTATCGCTCTGGGATGCTTAAATATCATAGAACAGTATGTGTGGGTGGAATGGCCTGGTATGTAGCCTGGCTGACTACCATGCATACCACACTTGATTACTTACAATAAAAACTACTTGTCTCACCCTAGATTAAGACTACAAAGATTTTAAGGTAAGTAATGAGTGAACTGTATATGCATTTTCGCTCTGGGATGCCTAAATGTAATAGAATATTATGTGTAGGTGGGGTGGCCTGGTATGGTAGCCCGGCTGACTACCATACATACCACACTTGATTACTTACAATAAATACTACTTGTCTCATCCTAGATTAAGACTACAAATATTTTAAGGTAAGTAATGAGTGCACTATGGGTGTATTTTACTTTTTTATTGTTTTTTGATGCCTAGTTCTATTGCTAACCTAATGTATGTTAGTGTAAATTTATCTAGTATCTGTATGCATTTTTTTTTTTTTTTTTTATTATCACACCGGCTGATTCCCACCAAGGCAGGGTGGCCCGAAAAAGAAAAACTTTCACCATCATTCACTCCATCACTGTCTTGCCAGAAGGGTGCTTTACACTACAGTTTTTAAACTGCAACATTAACACCCCTCCTTCAGAGTGCAGGCACTGTACTTCCCATCTCCAGGACTCAAGTCCGGCCTGCCGGTTTCCCTGAATCCCTTCATAAATGTTACTTTGCTCACACTCCAACAGCACGTCAAGTATTAAAAACCATTTGTCTCCATTCACTCCTATCAAACACACTCACGCATGCCTGCTGGAAGTCCAAGCCCCTCGCACACAAAACCTCCTTTACCCCCTCCCTCCAACCCTTCCTAGGCCGACCCCTACCCGCCTTCCTTCCACTACAGACTGATACACTCTTGAAGTCATTCTGTTTCGCTCCATTCTCTCTACATGTCCGAACCACCTCAACAACCCTTCCTCAGCCCTCTGGACAACAGTTTTTGTAATCCCGCACCTCCTCCTAACTTCCAAACTACGAATTCTCTGCATTATATTCACACCACACATTGCCCTCAGACATGACATCTCCACTGCCTCCAGCCTTCTCCTCGCTGCAACATTCATCACCCACGTTCACACCCATATAAGAGCGTTGGTAAAACTATAACTCTCATACATTCCCCTCTTTGCCTCCAAGGACAAAGTTCTTTGTCTCCACAGACTCCTAAGTGCACCACTCACTCTTTTTCCCTCATCAATTCTATGATTCACCTCATCTTTCATAGACCCATCCGCTGACACGTCCACTCCCAAATATCTGAATACGTTCACCTCCTCCATACTCTCTCCCTCCAATCTGATATTCAATCTTTCATCACCTAATCTTTTTGTTATCCTCATAACCTTACTCTTTCCTGTATTCACCTTTAATTTTCTTCTTTTGCACACCCTACCAAATTCATCCACCAATCTCTGCAACTTCTCTTCAGAATCTCCCAAGAGCACAGTGTCATCAGCAAAGAGCAGCTGTGACAACTCCCACTTTGTGTGTGATTCTTTATCTTTTAACTCCACGCCTCTTGCCAAGACCCTCGCATTTACTTCTCTTACAACCCATCTATAAATATATTAAACAACCACGGTGACATCACACATCCTTGTCTAAGGCCTACTTTTACTGGGAAAAAATTTCCCTCTTTCCTACATACTCTAACTTGAGCCTCACTATCCTCGTAAAAACTCTTCACTGCTTTCAGTAACCTACCTCCTACACCATACACTTGCAACATCTGCCACATTGCCCCCCTATCCACCCTGTCATACGCCTTTTCCAAATCCATAAATGCCACAAAGACCTCTTTAGCCTTATCTAAATACTGTTCACTTATATGTTTCACTGTAAACACCTGGTCCACACACCCCCTACCTTTCCTAAAGCCTCCTTGTTCATCTGCTATCCTATTCTCCGTCTTACTCTTAATTCTTTCAATTATAACTCTACCATACACTTTACCAGGTACACTCAACAGACTTATCCCCCTATAATTTTTGCACTCTCTTTTATCCCCTTTGCCTTTATACAAAGGAACTATGCATGCTCTCTGCCAATCCCTAGGTACCTTACCCTCTTCCATACATTTATTAAATAATTGCACCAACCACTCCAAAACTATATCCCCACCTGCTTTTAACATTTCTATCTTTATCCCATCAATCCCGGCTGCCTTACCCCCCTTTCATTTTACCTACTGCCTCACGAACTTCCCCCACACTCACAACTGGCTCTTCCTCACTCCTACAAGATGTTATTCCTCCTTGCCCTATACACGAAATCACAGCTTCCCTATCTTCATCAACATTTAACAATTCCTCAAAATATTCCTTCCATCTTCCCAATACCTCTAACTCTCCATTTAATAACTCTCCTCTCCTATTTTTAACTGACAAATCCATTTGTTCTCTGGGCTTTCTTAACTTGTTAATCTCACTCCAAAACTTTTTCTTATTTTCAACAAAATTTGTTGATAACATCTCACCCACTCTCTCATTTGCTCTCTTTTTACATTGCTTCACCACTCTCTTAACTTCTCTCTTTTTCTCCATATACTCTTCCCTCCTTGCATCACTTCTACTTTGTAAAAACTTCTCATATGCTAACTTTTTCTCCCTTACTACTCTCTTTACATCATCATTCCACCAATCGCTCCTCTTCCCTCCTGCACCCACTTTCCTGTAACCACAAACTTCTGCTGAACACTCTAACACTACATTTTTAAACCTACCCCATACCTCTTCGACCCCATTGCCTATGCTCTCATTAGCCCATCTATCCTCCAATAGCTGTTTATATCTTACCCTAACTGCCTCCTCTTTTAGTTTATAAACCTTCACCTCTCTCTTCCCTGATGCTTCTATTCTCCTTGTATCCCATCTACCTTTTACTCTCAGTGTAGCTACAACTAGAAAGTGATCTGATATATCTGTGGCCCCTCTATAAACATGTACATCCTGAAGTCTACTCAACAGTCTTTTATCTACCATACATAATCCAACAAACTACTGTCATTTCACCCTACATCATATCGTGTATACTTATTTATCCTCTTTTTCTTAAATATGTATTACCTATAACTAAACCCCTTTCTATACAAAGTTCAATCAAAGGGCTCCCATTATCATTTACACCTGGCACCCCAAACTTACCTACCACACCCTCTCTAAAAGTTTCTCCTACTTTAGCATTCAAGTCCCCTACCACAATTACTCTCTCACTTGGTTCAAAGGCTCCTATACATTCACTTAACATCTCCCAAAATCTCTCTCTCTCCTCTGCATTCCTCTCTTCTCCAGGTGCATACACACTTATTATGACCCACTTCTCGCATCCAACCTTTACTTTAATCCACATAATTCTTGAATTTACACATTCATATTCTCTTTTCTCCTTCCATAACTGATCATTTAACATTACTGCTACCCCTTCCTTTGCTCTAACTCTCTCAGATACTCCAGATTTAATCCCATTTATTTCCCCCCACTGAAACTCTCCTACCCCCTTCAGCTTTGTTTCGCTTAGGGCCAGGACATCCAACTTCTTTTCATTCATAACATCAGCAATCATCTGTTTCTTGTCATCCGCACTACATCCACGCACATTTAAGCAACCCAGTTTTATAAAGTTTTTCTTCTTCTCTTTTTTAGTAATTGTATACAGGAGAAGGGGTTACTAGCCCATTGCTCCCGGCATTTTAGTCGCCTCATACGACACGCATGGCTTACGGAGGAAAGATTCTTTTCCACTTCCCCATGGACAATAGAAGAAATAAAAAAGAACAAGAGCTATTTAGAAAAAGGAGAAAAACCTAGATGTATGTATATATATATATATATGCATGTGCGTGTCTGTGAAGTGTGACCAAAGTGTAAGTAGGAGTAGCAAGATATCCCTGTTATCTTAGCGTGTTTATGAGACAGAAAAAGAAACCAGCAATCCTACCATCATGCAAAACAGTTACAGGTTTTTGTTTCACAGTCATCTGGCAGGACGGTAGTACTTCCCTGGGTGGTTGCTGTCTACCAACCTACTACCTATCCAACCTACTACAGCGATTTCTGCTTTACGGCAGTACTGGAACCTAACCTGCCGTATAAGTGGGGCCCTACTGTATATGTCATAACCTGTAACAACTGTAAATCTTCTTGGTGCTCCTTTCCCGGGCTGAGTTCTCCTAGCATTTCTCCCAAGACTTTAGCATTTGATTCCACAACATCCAGTTCACTATGCAACTTGGCTCGTTGTTCAGCAGTCAAAGAAACTGGGGCAGCAGGAGTGGGTGTAGGTTGGTGGGGGTTTTGGCGACGAGGAGAAGTCACAGTACCCTGAGGCACACGAGGAGGACGTGGCTCTGGAGCTGTAGTCGTCTAGAAATATAGAGAGATTAATTTCAAATTTCTCATGTTAATTAAGAGAGCATAATTACTTTGTAGCCATAGAATTTTATGTTGTATAAAGTTCTGATCTTTGTGAGAATGCACTCTTAAAAAAAAATCTTTTGCAATATTATTATTTTATTATTTATCACACTGGCCGATTCCCACCAAGGCAGGGTGGCCCGAAAAAGAAAAACTTTCACCATCTTTCACTCCATCACTGTCTTGCCAGAAGGGTGCTTTACACTACAGTTTTTAAACTGCAACATTAACACCCCTCCTTCAGAGTGCAGGCACTGTACTTCCCATCTCCACGACTCAAGTCCGGCCTGCCGGTTTCCCTGAACCCCTTCATAAATGTTACTTTGCTCACACTCCAACAGCACGTCAAGTATTAAAAACCATTTGTCTCCATTCACTCCTATCAAACACGCTCACGCATGCCTGCTGGAAGTCCAAGCCCCTCGCACACAAAACCTCCTTTACCCCCTCTCTCCAACCTTTCCTAGGCCGACCCCTACCCTGCCTTCCTTCCACTACAGACTGATACACTCTTGAAGTCATTCTGTTTCGCTCCATTCTCTCTACATGTCCGAACCACCTCAACAACCCTTCCTCAGCCCTCTGGACAACAGTTTTGGTAATCCCGCACCTCCTCCTAACTTTCAAACTACGAATTCTCTGCATTATATTCACACCACACATTGCCCTCAGACATGACATCTCCACTGCCTCCAGCCTTCTCCTCGCTGCAACATTCAAATAATCAAATTCAAATAAACATAGTGGCATATGGGTACAATTCAGTTCTCTTCCCAATAGCAGACCAATATTTGAGCATAATGAACATACATGTCCAAGAGTTTTACTTGCCCAAAATTTCTCCTTAATTTTAATATTCTCATAAAAAATTTGCTGAATACTCAAATATTTGGAAAATAGTAAAATGCCAGTAAGCAAAACTATTTAACTAGTACTGTGTCGTCACTATTATTAGGCAAGGGCAGACATAGCCACAGTATTTTATCATTTAAACATGAAAAATTAATAATAAAGAGTATTTGCATGTTCAGTGATTAACAGGCCTATTTCAGAAAAAAAAAAAAGGATATAGGGATCCTAATTGCTCTCCAAAGTGATTTATCTGATTTTGCTAGTGCTAGAAAAGGTTAAAAATGTGTTATGCTTTGTATTTACTGTAAAATGATTAACATATGCCATGGTCCTGAAATTCATCTACTGTGTAAAGAGATGATACCTGTATCATGTTTCTTTAGACACCTGCACATCCTTCAGCCATTATTACTAGATCATAGCTTCAATTAACTGCAAACTGAATTAAAATTTATAGTTTAACAATAAATGATGTAAACTTGAGTTACTGTATAATTCTTTATGTTAAGTAAGAAAGAAAACCAATGTTACATACCATAATAGAAAAGAACTCGTCTCAACACCTAATACGAGTCGATTTATGATTGTCATATCACAAATACTATAATAGGGATAATATGCACAACAGCCATGTACTGGAAGTGGAATGAAAATTATATCAGCAATAATTCACAAGCTGCTGGCAAGGTATTACATACTCGCTGGGGTGTGATGATGGGAGCCATTGTGTCCAAATTTGTCATAGGAAATTCAACACCTTTATGCTTAAGCTCTGCATACACCTGGAAAAAAAAAAAAAAAAAAAAGGAAATTTAACTTGCTCTCTGGTGTGAAATATTCTACTGCATATACAATATCATTTTCCTTTTATACTTTGTTCTACAGAATGAATACAGTGGAACATCAAAAATCGAACGCATCACATATCGAACGTTTTGAAAATATGACCATTTTTTCGGACAAACTGTGTCCCTATTATCGAATGCGCCCCTATTTTCGGACCGCTGGGTATGGGACCTGTCTGCCAGCCCGCTCTGTCCGCGTCCCCGCGCAGGCGCCGCAAGCAGTCTAGCTTTGTTTATGCTTGAGTGAACACTAACCTGGGCTCTCATTCATGCATTTTATGGTTATTTCGTTGTGTTTAGTGCTTGTGGGACTGAAATAAGCTGCCATGGGCCCAAAGAAACTTGCTAGTGGTACCCCTGTGGTAAAGAAAGTGAGAAACACCATAGATGTGAAGAAGGAAATAATACAGAAGAATGAGAGTGGTGTGAGACTTGTTGAGCTTGCCAGGATGTATGGGAAAAACAAGTCGACCATCGGTTCTATCCTGTCAAAGAAAGAACAAATCAAGGAAGCTGATGTTGCGAAAGGTGTTAATATAGGGAGTGGATGAGGTGCCTTCTTCAAAGATTAAGGAGATTTGTGCCAAGTGGAATGATGTCCAAATATTTGTGCAGAAGTACCACCCTGAGCAAGCTGAAACAAGCCATCTTTGCAACAAGTTCAGTGACAGAACCATGTCCCATTTTAGGGAAATGTTAAAGAGGCACCAGAAACTGAGGACTGTGGACAGTTATTTTGTGAGACAGGGGTCCAGTGACTCTCAAGCTGGTCCTAGTGGCATTAAAAGACGGAGGAGGGAAGTAACCCCAGAGAGGGCTTTACCTGAAGTCCTCATGGAGGGGGAGTCTCCTTCCAAACACTAACCCCAACTCCCTCTCTCCTCCTCCCTATCTTCCAGATGCCATCACCAATCTTCAATAAAGGTAACTAAAAATGTTATTTTATATGTATTACTATACATAATTAAAAACTATAGCATTTGTTGTATGTAAAACTGTAATTAATCTCTATAAAATGTATTTTTTGTGTGAATATTTTTGGGTTTCTGGAACGGATTAAGTTCGATTTTTGAGGTTCCACTATTCCATTTTTTTTTTTTCTTTTTGTAACAAGTTGGCCGTCTCCCACCGAGGCAGGGTGACCCAAAAAGAAAAAATCCCCAAAAAGAAAATACTTTCATCATCATTCAACACTTTCACCTCACTCATACATACTCACTGTTTTTGCAGAGGTGCCCAGAACACAACAGTTTAGAAGCATGCAAGTATAAAGATACACAACATATCCCTCCAAAACTGCCAATATCCCAAACCCTTCCTTTAAAGTGCAGGCATTGTACTTCCCATTTCCAGTACTCAAGTCCGGCTATATAAAAATAACTGGTTTCCCTGAATCCCTTCACTAAATATTACCCTGCTCACACTCCAACAGCTCGTCAGGTCCCAAATACCATTCATCTCCATTCACTTCTATCTAACATGCTCACACATGCTTGTTGGAAGCCTTTCAAACCTGAATAACTGGATGGAATAGTACACAGTTTAATAAAAATAAAGATAAGGAAATTATTACAGAAAATACTGTACAATATAGTAGCAGGCAGTTATATACTGCAACTAAACTGTACCTTTAAATGTCTTTTGCACCTCAATAAATTTTTTTTTTTTTTTATTATCACACCGGCCGATTCCCACCAAGGCAGGGTGGCCCGAAAAAGAAAAACTTTCACCATCATTCACTCCATCACTGTCTTGCCAGAAGGGTGCTTTACACTACAGTTTTTAAACTGCAACATTAACACCCCTCCTTCAGAGTGCAGGCACTGTACTTCCCATCTCCAGGACTCAAGTCCGGCCCGCCGGTTTCCCTGAATCCCTTCATAAATGTTACCTTGCTCACACTCCAACAGCACGTCAAGTATTAAAAACCATTTGTCTCCATTCACTCCTATCAAACACGCTCACGCATGCCTGCTGGAAGTCCAAGCCCCTCGCACACAAAACCTCCTTTACCCCCTCCCTCCAACCCTTCCTAGGCCGACCCCTACCCCGCCTTCCTTCCACTACAGACTGATACACTCTTGAAGTCATTCTGTTTCGCTCCATTCTCTCTACATGTCCGAACCACCTCAACAACCCTTCCTCAGCCCTCTGGACAACAGTTTTGGTAATCCCGCACCTCCTCCTAACTTCCAAACTACGAATTCTCTGCATTATATTCACACCACACATTGCCCTCAGACATGACATCTCCACTGCCTCCAGCCTTCTCCTCGCTGCAACATTCATCACCCACGCTTCACACCCATATAAGAGCGTTGGTAAAACTATACTCTCATACATTCCCCTCTTTGCCTCCAAGGACAAAGTTCTTTGTCTCCACAGACTCCTAAGTGCACCACTCACTCTTTTTCCCTCATCAATTCTATGATTCACCTCATCTTTCATAGACCCATCCGCTGACACGTCCACTCCCAAATATCTGAATACGTTCACCTCCTCCATACTCTCTCCCTCCAATCTGATATTCAATCTTTCATCACCTAATCTTTTTGTTATCCTCATAACCTTACTCTTTCCTGTATTCACCTTTAATTTTCTTCTTTTGCACACCCTACCAAATTCATCCACCAATCTCTGCAACTTCTCTTCAGAATCTCCCAAGAGCACAGTGTCATCAGCAAAGAGCAGCTGTGACAACTCCCACTTTGTGTGTGATTCTTTATCTTTTAACTCCACGCCTCTTGCCAAGACCCTCGCATTTACTTCTCTTACAACCCCATCTATAAATATATTAAACAACCACGGTGACATCACACATCCTTGTCTAAGGCCTACTTTTACTGGGAAAAAATTTCCTTCTTTCCTACATACTCTAACTTGAGCCTCACTATCCTCGTAAAAACTCTTCACTGCTTTCAGTAACCTACCTCCTACACCATACACTTGCAACATCTGCCACATTGCCCCCCTATCCACCCTGTCATATGCCTTTTCCAAATCCATAAATGCCACAAAGACCTCTTTAGCCTTATCTAAATACTGTTCACTTATATGTTTCACTGTAAACACCTGGTCCACACACCCCCTACCTTTCCTAAAGCCTCCTTGTTCATCTGCTATCCTATTCTCCGTCTTACTCTTAATTCTTTCAATTATAACTCTACCATACACTTTACCAGGTACACTCAACAGACTTATCCCCCTATAATTTTTGCACTCTCTTTTATCCCCTTTGCCTTTATACAAAGGAACTATGCATGCTCTCTGCCAATCCCTAGGTACCTTACCCTCTTCCATACATTTATTAAATAATTGCACCAACCACTCCAAAACTATATCCCCACCTGCTTTTAACATTTCTATCTTTATCCCATCAATCCCGGCTGCCTTACCCCCTTTCATTTTGCCTACTGCCTCACGAACTTCCCCCACACTCACAACTGGCTCTTCCTCACTCCTACAAGATGTTATTCCTCCTTGCCCTATACACGAAATCACAGCTTCCCTATCTTCATCAACATTTAACAATTCCTCAAAATATTCCTTCCATCTTCCCAATACCTCTAACTCTCCATTTAATAACTCTCCTCTCCTATTTTTAACTGACAAATCCATTTGTTCTCTAGGCTTTCTTAACTTGTTAATCTCACTCCAAAACTTTTTCTTATTTTCAACAAAATTTGTTGATAACATCTCACCCACTCTCATTTGCTCTCTTTTTACATTGCTTCACCACTCTCTTAACTTCTCTCTTTTTCTCCATATACTCTTCCCTCCTTGCATCACTTCTACTTTGTAAAAACTTCTCATATGCTAACTTTTTCTCCCTTACTACTCTCTTTACATCATCATTCCACCAATCGCTCCTCTTCCCTCCTGCACCCACTTTCCTGTAACCACAAACTTCTGCTGAACACTCTAACACTACATTTTTAAACCTACCCCATACCTCTTCGACCCATTGCCTATGCTCTCATTAGCCCATCTATCCTCCAATAGCTGTTTATATCTTACCCTAACTGCCTCCTCTTTTAGTTTATAAACCTTCACCTCTCTCTTCCCTGATGCTTCTATTCTCCTTGTATCCCATCTACCTTTTACTCTCAGTGTAGCTACAACTAGAAAGTGATCTGATATATCTGTGGCCCCTCTATAAACATGTACATCCTGAAGTCTACTCAACAGTCTTTTATCTACCAATACATAATCCAACAAACTACTGTCATTTCGCCCTACATCATATCGTGTATACTTATTTATCCTCTTTTTCTTAAAATATGTATTACCTATAACTAAACCCCTTTCTATACAAAGTTCAATCAAAGGGCTCCCATTATCATTTACACCTGGCACCCCAAACTTACCTACCACACCCTCTCTAAAAGTTTCTCCTACTTTAGCATTCAAGTCCCCTACCACAATTACTCTCTCACTTGGTTCAAAGGCTCCTATACATTCACTTAACATCTCCCAAAATCTCTCTCTCTCCTCTGCATTCCTCTCTTCTCCAGGTGCATACACGCTTATTATGACCACTTTCTCGCATCCAACCTTGACTTTAATCCACATAATTCTTGAATTTACACATTCATATTCTCTTTTCTCCTTCCATAACTGATCATTTAACATTACTGCTACCCCTTCCTTTGCTCTAACTCTCTCAGATACTCCAGATTTAATCCCATTTATTTCCCCCCACTGAAACTCTCCTACCCCCTTCAGCTTTGTTTCGCTTAGGGCCAGGACATCCAACTTCTTTTCATTCATAACATCAGCAATCATCTGTTTCTTGTCATCCGCACTACATCCACGCACATTTAAGCAACCCAGTTTTATCAAGTTTTTCTTCTTCTCTTTTTTAGTAATTGTATACAGGAGAAGGGGTTACTAGCCCATTGCTCCCGGCATTTTAGTCGCCTCATACGACACGCATGGCTTACGGAGGAAAGATTCTTTTCCACTTCCCCATGGACAATAGAAGATTTTTATGATTTTTATGATTTTTTTTTTCTATTCCTGGTACATACTTCACAATAAGACAAAAGTACATGTGCATTTCTGCTACATTAACACATGATAGACACTAAATGTTTATTAAATTTTGGGGGAAGCTTTTCAATACAAAGCTACAAGCTTAGTAACTATTAGTAATGCCTTCAAATAAATGTAAGTGCTATTACCTGACTAACACCAGAGAGCTCAGGCTGGTGACGAAAGGCATCTGCCCAGGATTGGATGAGGAGGAGAACTTTCTCTTGTACAGCAGCGGGAGGCTCATTCTTTGGACCTGACACCACCAGACATGCTCATTAGATTCATTATAAAAAAACACCCAAACTTTTTATACAATCACAAAGATATCAATTTAAGCCACATGATTATAAAGTAATTTATTGATGCATAAATAATTTAAGAGGCTTTGTTTAATTTTTAACAATCTAAATTATCATTTACAAGTCAATAGGAACTTACTGTAAAGGTACAGGTATTCAGCTTGTAACTACAGCATGCCTTTTACTCTAAAATGACATGTATAAGTCAAACTTTCACAGTGGCAGGGTGTCAACATAGCTATCCAAAAATTATATTAAACCCTAAGGGTGAAAACCCATTTTCTCCACAAGTCAAGAGTATTAGACCTTAGCAGGGTTAACCTGTTATATGCATATACAATAGTACAGTACTATAAACCATAGACTACATACACAAGTTACACTCACCAATAAGCTTCACTAAGTCTTGCACAAAGTCCTTACTGCAAGCGTGAACATGGAATCGCTTCCCACAGTTCTTGACACACGACTCCAACAACTGTGGAAGGCTAAGTTATAAACTGTATACCATGTTTCATTCATGAAATTCACTAGAATTTTTGTCAAGCAAGCAATACCAACTCTTTTATATGAATACAATTTTTTATCTTAAAAAATAACAGTTCTGTACGGGATATGAATTTTAAATAGATTAAAGAATATATATGAATGAACCTTGACAGGATCTGCACATTCTTACTGGATGATATTGAAATATTAGCTAACATCATAATATTTATTGTTGTTCACTCCAGTAAGTACTAGTGGAAGATAAACAAGCAAAGCTAATGTTACATAATGAGGAAAATAGTCAAGACACTCCTAATGGGTTATGAGATATGAAAGACATCAAAACAGTCACCAGGACATAAATTTAACTTTGTAATGCCCTTCATGACAATGTATCTAAAGATACTGAAAAGAATGCCTTTAATTTTAATATTAAACAATGAAACTGATAAAAATGGGAGCACACTGTATATACTATATACAAATTCTGATTATCCTTCTACTGCAAACAAAAAAAAAAAAAACTATCTCAAAGAAAGTTGTGAATAAAAAAAAAACTTCACTGACTGTTAATGTGTACATGACAACAGTATAGTTCTTAGGCTGGGTGGCGAGACGCTTCCTGATGGCTTTAATGGCATCCCGTGGGCCATCTTCCGACTCATTGACCATATCACATACTTCCAAATTAAGTCCCCAGTCTTCTGATGGTAGAGTTTCTGCTGTTGCCTGTTCTGTAATTTTAGAAATGCACTATAATCTATAATTACATGAAGCAAATAAAATTACTCTCAGAAGACAGACTGTAGTCTTGAATATCAACAGTGATGTTTGGCATTCTAAATACGTAGATGATTCTGGCAACTAATGTATACTATTGAATAGCTTACTCAAGGTTCAACTCAAATATGTGCACAAGTGTTGCTGTATGTTGCAGGGCTGCAAATAAGCTTAAAACAACAATACTTGAACAATAAACAAATTAGATAAATTTATTATATAAAGCTATTAACCTTCACAACAGATTTTGTGCCACCTATCAAGTGGTAAACTTTAAGTGACATTCACAATATTAAGTGTAGTTCAAAACAAACATAAGTACAATGCTATACATAAGAAAGTCCCATGATAAGGACTCACTAAAATTAGAGTGAACTAACGTATAGGGCACAAATTGTGTACAGTAGTTAAAAGTATTTAAATATAACAATGAACAAAAGAACTGTACCTATTTTCTGGGTGACATTTGACGAGGCCATTTCTGTAGATTTATGGCTGTATACCGTGCACTAGCTTCTTTTCTTCTGTATATAATGATGACAATTATGAAAATTCAATCCTGATATACTACTGCGCTCTGCCATAGCAAACTGTACTAATAACTCATACAATGCCTATTAGAGGGAATCCTATTAGAGGGAATCCTAACATTAAATGGCAGCAGTCAACTATCAAGATGCCCCACCCAAGTAAGACTACATCCAAGTGTTTAATAAAAGGAATATTTAATATCACAATCTGTTCATTTGCATGCACCAGATTGAGGCATATTACTCTGGCATAAGCAAAACAACGAATTAGCTAAAGACCGTGCTGGGATAATTATTACTCGTAAGGATATACTAAACTCGTAGGAATGGTGGTCATACAGCACCTGGAATGTATTCTGATCAACTATGACACAAAGGTGTTCACCTAATGAATACAAGCACAACACAACAATGAACTGTACTTTATTATTATACTTGGTGTATATGTTTTGAATTATTTTTTTTCTCACAGGTTGCTGAATGCAGTCCATACATTTGCTAGTCTTTCATGTACTTCATATGTTTGTGCAGTGAATGCCTCACGACACACATTTGGAATGATTTCTACCACTTTTCCCTCTCCCTAGCTCCTGCACTGCAATCTTTATTATTTTGCACTTATCAGGATGGAGCTCCAACAGAAACTAGTCAGACCATTCTTACGGGTTTGAATTTTTATATAAAAGTTATAAATGCAGGTCAGCCATATAGTGCTTCCTGCATATGTCACTTTATACAAGATTGCTCATTTGAGCAATCTTGTATAAAGTAACAGAAGAGTATAGAGTAACAGATGATGAGCAAATCAGTGTCAATACTGGATTAATAAGAGTAAAAAAAATTAGGAGATTAACAGATACTCTTCCCAATTACTCCTATACAGGCAAGCCTTGTATAACACCAGGGGTCATTACCAAAAAAAAGTGTGTATCAAGAGGGGAGACTAAAGAGTTTGAAGAGTGCAAAAAGTGCAGTAATCCCAAAAACTGATGTAAATGTCGACCTTATACACTAGCCACAACCGTGCACTATATAATATCTGAATATTTCCCAAGTATTACAGGTCATAATGTTGTACAGTATTGCAATTATTATTATTACAATCAAGGGGGAAGTGCTAAACCCGGAGGATTATACAGCGCCTGGGGGGGGATGTGGAAGGCATTCAGGCTTAATTTGGGGAACTGGAGCACAGATCCAATTCCCTAAATCAAGAGCCCCTCACCAACATCAAGGAACCTTCCTTGAGGGGTACAGTATTGCAAGCCTTGGAGTTAATCTTCATTTAAAAAAAATATCACAAGATTTGGGATTGAGGGAATGTCAACAAACATTACTATAGTTGGCAATGGCACCAATGAAGCACACTGGGAGTTGGTACTGACACTGCACTTCATTGTAATTTACTTTTTGAGCAAGTGAATTACAATGGTACTATACAGTATTGTAATTATGATAAAAATTACTGCAGATATACAAGTACAGTATAGTACAGGAAATTAGGGCCAGTTACTGTTCAGGTAAGTATTTATAATCTAGTTTTTGATATGCCACTACCTAATGTTAGTTTCTATGGCATAACAGTGTATGGTACAGTGGAATGCTGGTTTTCATCCTTAATCTGTTCCAGGTTGGTCGAAATCCAAAATGGACAAAAACCGAAGTACATACTAATAAGTGGACCCCCGACTTACGATCAGCTCCCAACTCGAATAATTATGTAAGTGTGTTTTTGTAAGTGCTTTTGCAAGTGTATTTTTGGGGTCTGATACGGACTAATCAAATCTACAATATTCCTTATGGGCTCAAATTCGTTCGGTAACGGCACCCAAACAGCCTTCTGGAATGAATTAATATCGTAAGTCAGGAATCCATTGTACGTATATCCCATAAGAAATAATGTAAATCCAATTAATCCATTCCATATACCCAAAAATATTAATAAAAAATACATTTTATAGAGAATAACTAGTTTTACATACAGAAAACAATGAGAAATGAATATAAATGATTAATTTTAATGGATAAATGAACATTTAAATCACTTTTACCTTTACTGAAGAGACTTATTGGCATATGGAAGATGGCGAGGAGGGGAGAGGGAGAAGAGGTTATTGTTTGAAAGGGGAATCCTTCTCCTTAAGAACTTCAGGTATCAAAGCCCTATCCAGGGTTACTTCCCTTCGTTGTCTTTTACTGGCACTAGGACCAGCTTGAGAGTCACTGGACTGTGCAGACACGGCTTGCAACAGCTTTGTTAGGGTGATATTTCTCCACCAACTCTTCCACATCCTAGCTACATGATATTTAATGCGGCCCAGAGCCATATTATTACCATCGATATACCATGTTCACTGAGTTCAATCATTTCTAACAACTATCTTTAGATGCCATCATAAACAAAGGGAGAAGTAATGAATAATTCATGCCGAGAATTGTAAACAAAAGCGTTATGTATTAAGGGCAGTGACTGGGCCAATAGAGATTCATACACATTTTCTCTGATGCTGGACCAGAGAAAATGTAATGTTTTCCCTCTGTCTGGCTATGTAACATGTTTCTTATATAATTTTGAAGAAAATATAGATGGATTAATGAAAATGTCTATATTAACCTAAAATAAGACATCTAATGTGCCCAAGAGTGACTATTATGCATTAACATCACAAACGTATGAGCTGCCCAGGCGGATGCGTCTGGTACAGACGATTTCCAAATGGAGGTACGAAATCCGGGGTAAAATTTTGCCCAAAAAAGTGGTTGAAATCCGAATTGTATGATATCCTCACCAGACAAGATCTGGGGTTCCACTGTATATTATACCATTTTGAAGACAGGTTGTCTATGGCTTCTCAAGATCACTTTAGTCAAGGGCTAGACTGAATGACTAATGTGCACATCTGTATGCCATAATAAATTTAAGGTAAACCAAAGAAATATTTTAGTAAAAATGAAGCTAAACAAAAATACTGGAAGAAAAGTTTGAGTGACAACCACTTGGTTTAAAGTTTACACTACTCTTCTTTACACCCCCCCCCCACCTACCCTACAAAATACTGAATATACAATCACTAAAATATCCAAGAGTAATAAACTAGTGTATTACAGTAGTATTTGGTTATTAAATCTGCCGTCATCCACTTCCACACTGGTGTTTAAATTTTATAAATTCTATTACTTTAAAGAAATTAGGAAATGTGGTGAATCTTAAATATAACAGACCTGAAAAATACAAAATAAAATCTGCTGGGTCAACTGATTTGAAAAAAAATCAAAGAGTTTGTTAAAGAATGTCCATTTTTTTTAAACTATCACAATCTCTTCTTTATCTCCAAAAACTGCCATTATTGGTCATCTGCTCCCCCCTATTAGTCCATTATATAAAAGGTTTACTGTACACTATTATTAAAACAGTAAAGGTAGGAATAGTAGTAACCCCCTCAATTTAACCAATTAAAAAAAATGAGAGAATCCACAAGGTCAATCAATTTGGAAACAATGGAATAAAAATCTGTTTGCTACAGAACTGTCAGCTGTAACAATCATGGCCAAACAATTTCATCTATATCCACCACAATCACCATTGCAGGCCACCTACTCCTCCCTATTAGTGCATTAAACTTTAGGGTTTTCTGCTATTTTCTATCACGAAAATGAATATTTTAAAAGTTGCCAGCAACAAATAAGCATTTATTTTGCACAGTTTACATGAAAATGCAAGTTCTCCCATCCATTGAGTATATTACCAGTTTTTGAGCAGAGCATAGTGGATAAATGGTTTAGACAACTTTCACTTTCCAGCAGGTAGCACACACAATAGCTTTCCCTAATCACTAGTAAATATGACAAAATCCATTTACAAATCTGGGTACTACTATGTATAAAAGGAAGCAGTGTCATGCTCCTACAAGTGCAATCAAAACACTGACTCTCACATAAGGGGAGAGACTGGTGTTGCGTAACTTGGTCACACATGACTGCTAGCAGTCACGCCTACACACTATCAAATTGCCATAAACCTCTCTCCACTTTACCTTCTGACTGCTCATAAAACAAGTGGCTAGTACAGTATATATGGAGCTTTGTAATTAAAAAGCAATTTTTCATACAAGAAGTGAAGACATTAATAAAATAGGTGCCAGAGTTAAGTACTGGAAATGCCTTAATTGGAAGTATGGTACATTTAAATTCATAAAAGTTATGAATAAATAGAGAATTTATCTTGATACCCAAGACAAGCCATAATTTCAGATTACAATAATAAAAAGCAATAACTAAAATTACAGTATTCACAAAATGAGACATTATAAGTATAGTTCTACTTCTGTAATTACAAACAGGTAATTACACATGCTTCTACCTATATGAGTATGGTACATACAAAGTAAAACATATGTACTCAGGAATGTACACAAGGTATATCA